AGAAAAAATTAAGTGGGCGTAGCACTTATCTACTTCTCCCATTAAACTTTGGCTCAATGGATGGTTTGTGATCATACATTGTTGAATTCACTCCACTTTCTTTGATCCACTCTGCACCATCAGATCCCGACTCTGCAGATATTACATAAGGAACACAATAGCATTGCAGTGACCAAGTATAAAATGACTGCTTTTCAAAGCTGCATGCACACATTAGAAATATTGCTGCATCCTGTCTCTGATGGACCCTCATGGAGCGTAAGATGCTGTGTGCAGTATGGGAGCCATACATACAACCTATTGTCCAGTCTCATAATCCTCTTCTTCATCTGCTGTCTCTTGTTCTAGGAACTGAAACTATTTCCCTGACATTTGGAAAGACTGACTGGTACTTAATTAGGAATAATACCTGGATCTTGGTCCTGGGTTTATTCAATAAACATGTATTGACCATCTACTATGTGCCAGGTACTGATTTAGGTGACTTGGATACATTAGACATCTCTGTCCTTGTGAAGTTGAACTTGAGATGGACACAAATTATTATGTAAAATAGTTAATGCCATTAGCCAGTGCTACAGAGAAAAGAAAAAGATGTGAGAGAGATTGGGGTCCATAAGAGAAGGAGAGTGCAATAGTCAGGGGAAATTCATTGAGAAGGTGAGAAATGAGCCAGTACTTGAAGAGGGGAAAGGATTAGCCAAGATACACTGTTCCTCATTTGCCATGCTACCTGGGACAAGAAATATAAAATCTCCGGGTCTTGATTTCTTTATTTGTACAATAGGATATCGATCTAGATATCATATATTGAAGTCATCTTAAGTCCTTAAATTCTCTAAGCTATGGTTTAGCTTTTATCAAAATTATGATGAAAGCAGTCATCTAGTTAATGTTCATTAAGCCTACACAATATGTTATTGCATTGCTAAATACCATGGATGCCACAGGATTTAAGAAATGCTTATTATGATAATGTTAGTTTGGATGTATTCCATTACACTCATCCATTTATTCAACAAACATATACATATTAAGCACCTACTATGTGCCAGGCACAACTCTACAGTTGTTGTGTTAAAAATCTGACCATCTGATGGGGAAAGGGAGCTATTTTAACAAAAAAGTAACCCATGCTAAGCAGAGACAGAGGAGTTATTTGAGACACACAGGATAAAGGAGCCAACCCATTGGATGGGGAATGTTCACTTCTGCCAAGGATTCTAATATACATTATTTTTCTACCCAGAGAGATAAACTTCTGACAATGCTTCCCGAAAAAACTACTACTGTTTTATCTTTTGAGAAAGTGACAGTACATTTTACTTATTTAATAGAGGGCAACAATTTTACTCTTACTATTTTAAAACCATTTTTGAAATTATAAAAGAACAACATTTAGCTTATCTGCGTTCACCTAGTAAGTATATTAAAGTTATTTAAGTTTGAAAAGCTTCTATGTTTACAAGGAAAATAAAAGGACCAGATAATATTTAATATTGTTGGGGGAAATTTTAATTTGTGAAACTAAAGAGGACAAAGAAGGCAACTTATAAACGTTTACTTCATTAGAACTAAGAATCTGTTAGCAAATAAGTTTGAAAAGCCCGAGCTTTCCCACCAACCTTTGTGCCTCCTTTTTCATGTCAGTAAGGAAGTAACAAGCATGATGATGATAATAACCATCATCTATTGAGAGTTTATTGTGTGTCAGGCTCAGTAGTAAGCACTTATCCAAATATTAGCTAATTTAATTCTTACAAAGCCCTACGAAATGCATGGTGATTATGCCCAATTTTATAGATGAGGGGAAGGAAACTTGAAGAAATTAATTGTCCCATATCTAAAGTCAGTAAGTGGCATTGGGGGAAAAAACTCTCAAACTTATCAGAAGTTTACATTTGACCACCAGAGGAAGGAAGCATTTGCTCTCTGACCTGAATATGGTCCAGCAGTTTTACATTCACTATTTTTGCTTTGTACATTGTTTCATGGGCAAATGGTCATATGATTTCTCTGGTATCTATGTAAATGTCCCCTTAAAAACAGTGTTTAAAAACGTATACTCTTTATCTTTGAATGTCTACTAGTAATTAAAAGTATACAGAAGGAGTTTTTGGACCCCATCCAAGTATTTATTTAAAAGACACTTTTGTGTGATTTGGTACTCCACATAAAATTCTTCCTGATGGTCTCAAGTTTCAAAGAAGTTAGAAGTTGTTTGACTAGGCATATCAGGAAACGAGTAATGCATTAGTTGAAAGTGCTGTAAAGACAGTATTAGCAGCAGTTATCTCTTGCTGTAGCTATATTTTAAGAAATTACTATCTTCTACATTGGGAACTACATTAGCAGACTCCATGGACAAGTAAAGCTTGCTTTCTTGTGTAACCCAACAGCTTCAATAAAAAAAAAAAGTTAAAAAGCATGAATGAATATATGTGCATTTTTATCAAAGGCTATGTCTTTCTTCGTGGGAAACTGTGAGAGTTTCCTTTTTCATAACCAGACACATGCTTTTCATCAGAAACACTGCACAGGGTTCTATAATTGCATTTTCTTTCCTGGTAATTCCACTTTTTTTAAAAAAAAAGAAAAGAAAAAGAAAAAGCCAGATTAAACGTTTTTGTTCCCATGTAGCTATAGACTCTCCTATAACAAATTTGGAAACCTTCAAAAAATGATTAGGTAAATCTTATGCCTGAGACTCAAGAACATACTATTAAAGTGTTGAACATCTTCATCCAAGAAGTTTAGGATAATTTGGGAATACTGTGTATATTACCCTGATGTCATTTGGGCCTGGGAATACAAACATAGAAAAGTTGTTTTTGCAGAAATGTGAATTCTGAACAATTTCCTATCATTGAGAGAAGCCCATTCTGCTTAACAGTATAATTCAGGAATTTGAAAGCCAGATTTACTAACTTATCATCTGACTACAAAAGTCTTATAAAATTTTATGAGGGATTAAACTCCTTTAAATTCCTTTTGGGCCATGTTTGACAAATAAGAGTTTAAATATGAGAAACTAGTATTTCAAGGAAGGAATGCAGATTATCTGCTGTAATATTTCTCTCGTGTACTATACATTTTATGTTTGCATTGTAAATGACAACCGAAATTATGTCAGAACACTTGGAGGTGTTTCTCTGGAGGACTGAAGATATGAATGTGCAACCTAAATGCTATCATAAAGGAAAAAGACAACTTTTTTATTAGGTGAAAAATAACAAGAACAGGTATTTGGAGCAATTTTAGAATAAATTAAGATGTATGGACATAGCATCATAATCCTGATTCAAATTACATTTCAGTATAGGTTTCTACAAGCAAAAGGTAGGCTGTCTAGTTTTATTACTTGAAAGTTATGAGTAACTTTCTAAGAATATGAATTTACAATTAAAATGAACTATCAAGTTATTTATTTTTAAGTGGGTAGTGTATGCAATAATCTGGATTCTGATGCCTCATGTCAGAAATTCCTTTGCACTAAATTCCAGCAGAGTATACGGGATGGAAAGGCTGGGGCCACAGTAGTTTTTCTCACTGACAAAACTCAAGTCTAATTTAAAGGCTCCCAGAAGTAATTTTTAAAGTGTTAATACAGTCCCAAAATCATATTTTCCTACTCTGGGTGAACTTTAGACTAAATGGTTTGTACATAGTTCATAATATAACATATATCTGTCTAATAATAACTTGAAACCACAGCTAAAGTTAATTTTACATCAGCTTTAAACCTGCTATTGTTAATCACGACTCAGAATTAACCTTTTGGCTGAACTGAATTCTGTCACTAGATGTTAAAAAGATGTTGTTCCTCATCAGAAATCTCTCTGTATAAATATAGCATCTGGGATTCCTCTACTGTATACATTAGAAATCAGCTGAGTCAGCAGCTTGCATAGTAAGATTTATGATTATATAATGCCTTTTCACAGCCCAGTGAAAAACATAAAGCTGTTAGAAGCAAAAAGAACTAAAAGAGATATGTCTAATACAGCAAGCTATTGTCAAATTCAGAACTCTATTTGTATAGTCATAATATGCACAGGAAAATACTTCTAGCCAGACTTACATTATCATTTGACCTTCACAACTCATACTTTGCAGCAATGGATGCAATTTTCTGAGACTACACTTTTGACCTTGAAGATATAACTTGATGTTTTATGTCTCTAAGCAAACTTATAAAGCTTCTGGTCCCCAAACTGAGTTCATCTAAAATTAATGTCATCATATGTTTAAACTGTTAAATCCTGTCATTCTTCTTTCAATTATTCAGCATACAAGGGCAAAGAGAGAAGCAGCCGCTCCTTTTGCACTATCTTTTCCTTATTGCATAAGTCTCTTAGCTTTCTGAGTGCAGGATGTCCCTCATCTGAAGCTGGGACTGAGGAAATAGCTGCATTGTACTGCAGCCCCAAAGCTTGCTACAGCTCTAAGGCTGAGGATTCAGCTGAGCTGAACAGAAACATGCAGAGGCAATATACTGGTCAATCAGAGCTAAATATTCACCAAAGGAGATTATACGGGGTGAGTTACTTTCTCCTGAAGTTTAGCTTGTCTGACTTTCATTTTCACATCGTTTTTTCCTAATGCTGACTCTAGCAGTATGACCTTACATCGTAAGTTTTACTTCCTATTTCTCTCTCCTCCCCCACTCCCCATCCCTTTTGCCTTGCACTGAAATAAACTTTATGTCCTCTGTACTACTTACAAGAAAGATAGCAACTGTACTAAAAAGCCCGGAACAATTACATCAATTCCCTGTAGCTGGATATTCATAAGCCATCCCAATTTAATTGTCCCCAATTCTTAACTCCACTGTAATGCTCTCGCATTCAAAAGCCCAGGGAGCATGTTCACCCATTAGCAGAAAGGAAAAAGAAAAAGTCAGTGCAGCAGAACTAATGAAGAAACACAAATCCAGCATCTCCATTCTAAGTAACTTGAAATTCATTTGACGTTCGTGAAGAGAACCTGCGATTTCTTACCTTGGATGTGAATAACTCTGCCATGATCTAGAGTGTAGTTGTCTGAAGGATGATCAGCCCAGCAGATGGAAATCAGCACCAGGAGAAGTAGGCTCTTCATCTTCGCAGCCCCAAGACTCTTCTTCACTGTGAGAGCATCACACACAAATGCTTGTGAGACTTGGAGCCTTTGGAGTGTTGCACTGCACAACTTATTGCCCCTTATCATCACAGAATGGGTCTGTAAAAACGTTTAACCCAATCTGTTCAGAAAGTTTCTGTAAGCTGTCTTTGGGAGCTGAGGACTGCAGCTTTGAACAATTTCAGTTTCCCTCATGTAACCAGAGTCCAAATAGTGCTTAACTCTATCTTTGCAGAATTGTAAAATTTAAGACAGTGTAGTTTTGATAATAGAGTGCTACAGCAAGTTATAGAGATATGTGGTAAGGATAGAACCGACTTTAAAAAAGCTGTTTGAACCTCTGAATTGGAAGTATACGTTAATAAAACAAGTTTATGCATATCTGGATATTTATCACCAAATGCTAAACCAGGGCAAATAAAGAATATTTACATGAAACTAGACATCATTCATTTTCCATGTGGCTTTCTAAGCAGGTTAGATTTGCTTGTTCTAAATGGAAAAGAGGACAAAAAAAAAAAAAAAAAAAGCCTGATTAAGCAGAAGCAGCACTTTTGTTACAGATTCAGTTACCATCTCAAACACAGCTTGGGTCTAGGGTGACGAGATGAAAATTGTGGACAAACTAGGTTATAGTTGTGCTTGCTACCACTGCAGTCATCCTGATTGATTTTTCATTCATTTCTACCTAAAATGCTGACGCGCCATCTTCAAGTGCCAGGTAGGGTCTCTGCAGTCAGCAGAGCCACAGCTGCAGGAAGGTCCCTGCCAGGCAATTAGGCAAATGAAGAGCTGAAACAGACAGCGGGGAGCAGCTCTGGTCCTGAGTGAGAGGCAGAGCTGTCACCTGGCTGTCCTCTATTGGAAGACTGATGGATACAAGAGGACATAACACCCCCCCAAACTTTGTCATGGGGAGGACCAAAAAGTCATTCCAAGTGATACGAACCTTATGACCTTTGCAGTTTCTGCAGGGCTAAAAAGTCAGTGCAGCTGCTGTCTTAGTGTGGCAGCAGAGGCAACTATTAACAAGGGCTTTCTTTTTCTCTCGTGCACACAGCAGCCTTCACAATGCCTGGCTATTTTTAAAACTGAAATTGCACAGTACTGGCTTCTGCCACTAATTTGTTTTTTGTTTTTTTCCAGGAAAGTCTGACTCCCTGGAAATATTAAAGAGCCCTGAGCCTGTTCCTTGAGGTCCTTGCAGGCCAGCCTCTGCTCCGGAGCCCAAGGCACTGTCTGCAAAGTTCCCGCATCTCTCTTGGGACCACGACCTCTCTGCTGTCTCCCTCTAAAAACTGGCATTGTTGTGATGCTTAGGACTTCAGTTTTTTCATGTTTGCTTTTACCTTTTTCTTTTTCCTCATTGTGGTACAGGAAGATGATTATGGGCAAGCTAACTGAGAAACTTACTTTTCCAGGAAACAAAGTGTCACCTTTAAAATTCTGCCTGAGTTATTCATGTTGTCAGAAGTTCACTACTGGCTTGTGCCTCTGAGGATTTTTTTTTTGGGGGGGGGGAAGAGTGAGGGGGAAATGATTATTTTTGATGCTACTGGCTTTTGTCCATGGAATATGATTAATAACATTATCTGTTTTCAGGCCAAAACATGGTTTGGGTGAACAAATATAATAAAGGTGACTCGTTTGAAATTGGAATATAATTGGGACATTATATACACAAACATAAAATAATGAGCAAGCCAGCACGAATTTATGTAACTCCTTTACTTCCATACCAAAGTATTAAAAAGTATGCCACTAAGTGCTCATTTCATTGAGTTAAGGTATTAACTGTCCAAGGGTCTAACGAAATATGCAAGCATAGGAGTATCCTAATATATAAAAACCTTGGATCTCTCATGACTGGAGGCTGGACCAACCAGAAATCAGTCCAGCAGTCAGTGCTGAGTTGCCATAGTGACCCAGCACTGACAGCTATGGCTGCAAGTGCGGTGAGCCAGCATTGACTGCTGAGGGGACTGTGAATCAGGCCCAGAGAGAGGCCTGAAGAGAGAAGCAGAGTCTGATCGGCAGTCTGTGTGGCAGTTGTTGATCAGCACTTGCCTCTCTCTCTTCCAGCAGTGCCTCAATTTCTCTCCAGGCCTCCACCATGCTGCTGATCAGCCCTGCCTTTCTGAACAGGCCCCATTGATAGGCCTAGAGATGCTGACTGGCATAGAGACTGACCAATCAGAACCAAATCTGGGTGAAGTGTGGGGAGCCACTGGCTGCCTAGGAGGCGGAGCTTTTGACACTGACAGACCAATCAGAATCAAATGGGCTGGCAAGAGAGCAGTTGGGGGTGAGATCAGGCTGGCAGGAGAGAGCGGGTTGGGGTGATGAGGCAGGCAGGCAGAGGCAGTTAGAGGTGATCAGGCAAGCAGGCAGGCAGGCAGGCAGAGAGGTTAGGGGCAATCAGGCAGACAGGCAGGTGAGCAGTTAGGAGTCAGTGGTCCCAGACTGCAAGAGGGATGTCCTATTGAAGGGAGTGCAGGCTGGGCTGAGGGAACCCTCCTTCCATGCACAAATTTCATTCACTGGGCCACTAGTAAATAATAATAGTATCTACTTTTAACTGAATATCTACTATTTGCCAAGTGCAATCTATGCTAAGCATTGTGCATACAATGGCTCATGCAACCCTTGTAATAATACTATGAGACAGATATTTCCATTTTCCCTGACACACTTTTTTTGCTGAAGGTCATACATTTAGTAAGCAGCATTTATATTTGCTTTCAAGCAAAAGCAATACCCACATTGTGTTGCACTTATTTTCCAAATAAAATAAATTTAACTTGTTATTTGTTTTATTGCCATTTTAAAGTATGCTCTTTAACTTGAACCTACTATGATTTTAAAATATTGACTTGTGTTATAATGAATACAAGCTTTTTTTTTTTTAAACTTACATGTGAGAAGTCAGATGGCATTTGCTTAGCATGATTGTGCCCTGCCTTGCTTATGTCACCACATGAGCACTTCCTTGGTGGCTCATTGTGTGCACACACATGTGCATTCACACACACACACCATCCTCAATTTTAAAAAGCTGAGGATATTGAACTTCTTCAGTGATCTGTGATTAGAATGAGGCATATGTCAGTGAACACTACTAAGTACCCCACTGCCATTAATACATGCCAGGTAGGAGAGAGTGTAAATTATCTTTGCCATCATGGCAGCATAACAACCGTCTCATGACAAAGATAGGAAACTAGAAAATTGAACTTCAAGAACAGCCCTGGCTGGTGTGGCTTCAGTTGGTTGGGCATCATCCTGTGTACCATAAAGGTTGCCAGTCTGATTCCAGATCAGGGCACATGCCAGGGTTGTAGGCTAGATTGGAGTTTTGTCTTATAATACAATGATCTCTCTCTCTCTCTCTCTCTCTCTCTCTCTCTCTCTCTCTCTCTCTCTCTCTCTTCTCTCTCTTTCTCTTCTCTCTCTCCTTCCCTCTCTCTCTAAAAATCAATAACAAATATTTTTAAAAATTTGCCAAAGAGAATTTAAAAGGGGCAATTTAAAGGACTAGAAATTTTGAAATATATATAGGATAAAAGAGTAATATGCAAATTGACTGTCACTGCAACACAAAAGATGGCTGCCCCATGTGGTCAAAGCTGGATGCCCCCATGTAGACACAAGATTCCCAGCAGGGAAGGACAGTTGGGAGGGACCAGGCCTCAAGGGAGGGCAGTTGGGGGTGATCAAGACTACAGGGGAGGGCAGTTAGGGGTGACCAGGCTTGCAGGGGAGGGAAGTTAGTGGCAATCAGGCTGGCAGAAGATCAGTTAGGCATTAATCATGCTGGCAGGCAAGTGATTAGAGGGTGATCAGGCTGGCAGGCAGAAGCACTTAGGGGCTATTAGGAAGGCAGGCAGGCCAGCAGTCCTGGATTGTGATTTTATCAGGATCAGGCTTAAATGGACAGTTCGACATCCCTTGAGGGGTCTCAGGTTTAGGAGTGTACAGGCTGCGATGAGGGACATCCCCTCAATACCTGTGCATGAATTTAATGCATGGGGCCTCTAGTATATATGTTTTCAAGTTATTTTATTCTACATTGCTTATGTGGTATGTGCTAAGATCTCACACAGAACAAAAAATAAGGTTACGCGTTTACTTTTAAAAGAGATTACAGAAACAATGGGTGGCCAAATATGAGGCTTTGCATCTATTATTTAAACATTCTTGTGTTTGATAATGGATAAATAAGCTTAAGTGAAAGGCATGCATACTTTTTCCTGTGCCCGGAAAGCTAATGTTGCATATTTCATTACATGCTAGGCACTGTCCTTGAAGTCTCACACATTCAACTGGTATTTCTTAGAACAACTCAGTTGAAGTAAGTATATTAGCACACACCTTTCACAGTTCTGGAAACTTTAGAGTGGTAAAGTCCCCACCATGGAAACGAGGAGCTTGGAGTCTGGGCAGTGTTCCCCAGAGCCTGCACTCTGCACCCCCTTTGTCTTGTGTACCCTGAGGAATGTCACCAGCTTTCATGGCCAATTCTCAAGTGTTTTTCAAAGCTTCACTCACACAAGCTCAAATGCCACCCCCTCCCATCCCTCTTTACCAGCTGTGGGTGGGTAGCACTGATCACAACCCCATTTGCACAAGACTCCATTGAGTCTAAGTCCCACGGCTTTCCTCACTGCATGCCTGGCACCCAGCACTGCCCTGTGGGCCAAGAGGAAGGATGAATAGGAGGACCAGTTACAAGGATTAAAGGAGCCAAAACTGAGGGAGGTTTTACTCCATTTTTAAGATTACATGTCTTACTGTATGGAGGATTGCGAAGAGTTATTTGTTCCTCCATCAAGGGTATAATGACATAAACCTGTTTCAATTTAATGCTTGCAATTTACTTTAAAAATTATGAGAATTAATGTAAAGTTTTCTGGAAATTGAAGGAGCAAAGAAACCACAAAATCTTAAACTGAAGAATTTTATTTGACAGAATTATTTTA